GTAAACATTTTTCTCTACCATGAACTACCTGCATGACCATGGCATTATCACAGACCCAAAGCATGAACTGAAAACTCCCAAACTGTGAGCCAACATAAACCTTTTCTCTATAAATTAATTATCTCAGACATTTTGTCATAGTGATAGATTAACTAACACCTATGGCAGTTTTCTCTTTCTCTTTTTTTTAATGCTGGGAATTGAACCCAGGGCCTTGCACATGCTAAGAGTATGCTCTACCATTGAGCTACACTCCCAGGCCCTGGTAATTCTATTTTTAATTTGGGGAGAGGGGCCACCATATTGTTTTCTATACATTTTACATACCTACCTATAGTATACCAAGAATCTGATTTCTCCACATCCTTGTGAATCCTTGCCTTTTGAAAAAAATCATTTATTTGTTAAAGAAACGATGTCATTTGTCTTATAGAATTTCTCCCACTAGATTTGGCTAAACATATCTTTGTTTTCACTTAACTTGTTCCTCTATTTCCTATAGTTCTTGCAAACTAGTAGTTAGATCTAGATTCTTGATTAGATTCATGTTCAAAATTCTGGCAAGAATAATTCATACATAGGGCTTTGTACTTCCTATTGCAACAGACCAGAAGGTAGGTAATGTTTGCATAACCTCTTTTAGTGATGTTCAGATTGTTAGTAAATTCAGGACTTTTTCAGTCTAATTCATCTATTTAAAAGTTATTAATCAATATTTTTCCCTTCTTTAATTGGGGATTGAACCCCAATTACCTATTTTTTTATCTCATAAATGATTAGACCATTTTGTCCACCTGAAACTAGCCAGACACAAAGATAAACATTTCTTGTTTACCTGAGACTTCTGACTGTAACCAATCCCACCTGTAATCCTCCCCACCCCTCTACCCCTGCCATAACTTGTCTACTCTTCCTACAAAAGTCTAAGACAAAATCACGCTGCCAAGAGACTCTAACTTTGGATCTGACAGGGGTAGGGAGGGGTTGGCAGTTTCCTATTGAAATAATATGAATAAGATTAAATCCCTTACTTGGTCATGGTCTTTGATAATAGCATCTAAAAATTAAAAATTGACCCCCCCAACCCCTGCCACACTGAATAAAAAGAATCTAAGCACAATGAAAGTGAGTTATAAGGAAAAGGAAGGCCAAGTCCCTAAGTCACATACTGTGGCTTACTAAATATCAAGCCATTGCCCAACTAGCTTCAGGAGGAGAACTGTGATAGAATACAAAAAAAAAAAATCTGAGTTGAATTTAATTAATTAAATGTATTAATTTGCTTTGGCACTAATTAGAAACAAGTTAAAGGTTGAAAAATGACAAAAGTAGTCCCTGGCAAAAGTGGGCTGGCACTCCCACAGTTATGCCATCTTACTCCTTTTGAACACAATCTCACAGAATACTGTTAAACCAAAACTCTTGAGACCAAGACATCTCTGAAATAAAAAGATTGATTAAACTGTTACAGATGCTAGCCAGGTAAAGGACCTGGTCATAGGAGGAGTTTCTGCAACCACCAGCAGCACAGCTAACTTGCAACTGGAAAAGAAGACCTAGAACTAAGAGTATTTTTATAACCAGAAGTTTGGGTAAAGACAGAACAAGTGATTTACACTGAACCTCCATTAGCTATAGATAAGATGGGTAGAATAATGAGAAGCAGGGAGAGCTTTGAGATATGAGGATGGTCCCTGAGAAGTAACTGTTGTTTCTGAATTGGTTAACAGTCCAGAAATTTTAATGTAACAGAGCATGGTAGCTCTGACAGTTGGCTATAATGGGATTAAAGTCAAGGTTTCATCAGGAATATGAAAGAGTCTTTTTTCTTATTTTCATCTGCAGCAGTTAACAGATGAACTTCCTTTGTCTCTTCCTCCCTCCATTCTCTGGCCCTTGTAATTAAATTTAGGACATCTCAGATTTTTTCTTTACCAATACCAACATAAGAAATACTAGAGGGCTGGGGAAATAACTCAGTCTGTAAAGTACTTCCCTCGCATGCATAAGGCCCTGGGTTCAATCCCCATCACCACACACACACACACACAAATACTAGAGTCTGCTTGGTGCGGTGGCACATGCCTATAATCCTAGCAACTGGGGATACTGAGGCAGGAGGACTGGCAAATTCAAAGCCAGCTTCAGCAATTTAGTGATGCCCTAAGCAACTCAGCAAGATCCTTTCCCACAAGTGGTTAAGTGCCCCTGGGCTCAATCCCCAGTACCAAAAAAAAAAAAAAAAAAAGGACACTAGAGTCCATGATAAACTAAGACGAAATAAAATCATTTCATAATTTTGTGCAAGCAGATAAAAATAAGACCACTGTGTCATACACAAAGTACCAAACATTCTTCTATCTCTATTATGTGACTGCCAATGTCTTTACTAATAACAGCTTTCTCTTCGATGTAGTCTTCTCTCCCTGTAGATAAGATTTGAGATAGCCAATGGTACAATTGCCCCATCTTTTTGACAGCAGCCCATCTGGAGAGAACTCTGCTTTCTTACATCCTCTCCCAAGTCATCCTCTTATTAAGACACCCTTCAATGCATTAGGTAATAAATCCAGTCTGCTTACTTTCATTGGTAGGCGTTAACAAAATACTTTTGCTAAATTACTTGAATTTATAGAGGAAGATAAATTCTTTGGTGACTACTGAAAAAGAACCAATGAAATATGTATTTAAAAACACTGAATGGAAGGCCTGGGGATGTAGTTCAGTGGTAGAACATTTGCCTACCAAGTTGTGAGGCCCTGGGTTCTATCCCAGCACTATGAGGAAAAAAAATTAAAAACTGAATGGAGGGAGTTGGTAGGGGACTGCGTATAGTTTCATCACCTTTACGAGTGTGTGGAATGAATCAACATAGCTAAAAATTTTTTCTGGAACATATTTCCACATCCCACTTCCTTTATCTCTTCCTCCCTCCATTCTCTGGCCCTTGTAATTAAATTTAGGACAGTTGTGCTGGTCGGATCATTTAGTCACAGCAGTGAAAAAACTGACTAAAACACCACTTTTTTCTGGAATTTCAGGAGCTGGTTCTGTGTTCTCAGCCTACCCTGAAATCCACCAAGAGAAGTTATCCCTAATATAAGATCCACAAAATCAAGAATATTAAAATTACATTATCATTTTGTAATGAACTAACAGATCTGAAAAATGATGATCATTATCTGTTAAAACCATTACATAAATGTTATTTAAATTATCTTGGTCCAGATAGGGTATGAAAATTATAAAATCCATACTCTGGTCACCAAAACTTGCTGTCCCCAATCTCCATCCATACTCCTTACATAGTTTAGCTGGTAACCAATGTCCAGAATACAGTCTAATTTCCTAGCCTCCCTGGCAGTTAGTTGACCAAGTTCTAGTTAGTGAGATGGAAACAAATGTAATGTGGTAGCTACAGGAGCCTTCCTTGTCAACCCTTTCTTTGTACTCTTCAACTTCATTGCTTCTTCAGTTGTTCTGCAGGATTAGAGTGCAGATATCTTGAATCATGAGTTGAGGCTATGATCAATGGCACAAGAGACACCTGAAGCACCACAAAGCCCTGAATTGCCTTTTCTGTCTTTTACATATTAGAAAAGCAGGAAGAAGGAAAGGCAGAGAAGGGAGGAAAGCTGGGAGGATAAGGGGTAAGGGGAGAGGAGGTAAAGAGAGAACTGGGAAAGGAGGGAAAAAGAATGCAAGGAATAGAAAAAGCGGGGGAGAGGAGGACGAGGAGGAAGGACAGAAGAGAGGGAGGAAGGGAAAGACAAAAAAGAAGGGGTGAAAAGAGGGAAAGGGAAGAGGAAAAGGTACAGGAAAGATGGCAGGAGCAGAGAGATTATGTGGGAAATTATCATGATGTATTCTGGTACAAGTTACAGAAAACTAATTGAAAAGGTAATGTGTTTATCTCAGTTCATAGAACAAGCTCAGGCATAGTAAGGAACACAGTAGACTTTGGCTTCACACAATGGCTACTATAGTTTCAGTTATGTTTATAGACAACATCATTTCAAAAGAAGAGGGACCATCTCCTATGTCTTTTTTTTTTAAGGTACCGAGGATTGAATCTAGGGTCTTGTACTAGCTGATGAACTTCATCCCCAGCCCCTTTTATTTTTTTGATAGAGGGTGTTGCTAAATTGGTGAGGCCGGCTTCAAATTTACAATCCTGAGCCTCCAAAGTAGCTGGGATTATAAGCATGTATCACTGCATTGAGTTCCTATGACTCTTTCTTCCTGCTTTTTTTTGGTGTGTATGTATGTGTGTATGTATGTGGCAATCTTTCTTGAATGTGATGAACTGTTTTCTAGAAACCCTCTAGTCCAGCATCACTAACCAAAACTAGATTATTTACCCATTACCGAAGCAATCACAGGCAAAGAAATAGGATTACCATGAACAAGAAATCATTCACACTATGCCAGATCTACCTCTGGAACTGGGCATGAGATCACCTTCTCTTGAGTCACAAAAGGAAGAGACAGACACCAAACTACTTATGTTTATTACACAATACTAGGAGGCCTAGTGATTGTCATCTGTAAAGTGATTATGACAGATTTCCAGCAGATGGCAGTAAAGTGCTTGGGGAAAGGGCACATATTTCAGATTTACACAAAGTGAAAGCAATCCAACAAAAAATGGTCAGTCTTCCTTATCTGTGGTTTCTGCATCCATAGATTGAATCAACCACAAATCAAAAATATTTTGACCTGAACACTTTTTCTTATACTGTATTGTTTAGGGAATAATGATAACTACTACTTATATAACATTTATACTGTATTAGTTATCATAACTAATTTAGAGATGATTTAAAGTTCATGGGAAAATGTGTATAGCTTATATGTAAATATTATCCATTATGCGAGACCTTAAATTAGGGTCTTGGATTTTGATATGGTGGCAGAGAGTGCCCTGGAACCAATCTATCTTGGATATGAAGGAAAATGGAATTATGCCGCAGTCTGGCTGGGCACAAATCACGAGCCACTGAAGCAGGAACAAACTTTATTTTTGAACTGCAGGAAAACACTTCACACAGCTCCCGGGGAATCCTCCCAATGCCACGCGGCTCGTCCAGGAACCCCCAGCCGGAAATATCTCTCCCGGAAATCCCTCCTCCTGCACTTCCCCAACCAATGGGAACTCTCGGGGAATCCCGGGAAATCCCCACGAGAACTCCAAAATAGTGCAAGAACTCAAAAGTTGTGGCAGAGGCGGATAGTAATGCCTCACCTGTCAAGCAATACTGTTGGCAAAATGCCAGGGGCCATACAGACTCGGCCGTGGCTCTCAGCATCTCCCCCTTTTTGTTTAATTAAACAACAAGCAATGTGGCTTAGGGACCGTGCTTGTTAGGCAGTCCAATTCAACATATGGTCCTTACCCGTCATCGGATGAACTGACCTCTAGGCGTCAGCCTCCTGTCTTAGGTTGGTACCACTGCAATTGGATCATACCCGTCACTGACTACCGGTCCAGCATACAGCCATACTTGTGGATAGGCCTTTGCACCAGTGGGGGGGTGAGGTTCTTTGCCTCACCTCTGTTGGCCCCCAAATTTGGCCTTGGTGCCAGTGGGGGGGTGAGGTTCTTTGCCTCACCTCTGTTGGCCCCCAAATTTTAGACCATCACTAGTAGAAGGGAGGAGGATGCAAAATGCCATGACACTAAGCCAATTGAGGGCTCCTTTGAAAAATTGTACCACCGGTGACACCATCAGCAAAAATACTCCAGCACTACCACAATTCGCTGCACCAACAGATAGTTCACAGTGCATACAAGTGATACATAGTCCAGGCAAGTTCTGCAAGCAGTTCAAAGCAGAGGAATCTGTCAATATGTCCATTTCCTCCCAAAGTAAATCGACTCCTTGATTGAGCATTACTTGTTGAGTTATTATTCATTGATGCATCAGTTTATACAGTTTGTTGTGATAACTATCGAAGAAGCTGTAGTTTGGTTTTATCTTTGTCTTCACCAGCACTGGGATGAAGATAGGAATTCTGGCAATGATGCTAAGAAAAAAATTATGTAACATTCCAACAGGCACTAAGAAAACAATTTTTTGAACAATTTACATTATCCTGAACAGAATTATTAAATATAATGAGAAGGAAAGGTGAAAGTAAACAAACAGATCTGTTAACCTCCTTATTTGTTCACATATTAAAACAATTTTCAACAGCTGTTTACCCAATCTAAATTAAACCATTAAAATCACGTGAATAAAAAAATTCGGATCCATTTATTCATGAGCGCTCCTCATATATGATATATGGACATACGCACATACAGACATACAACACAAAACAGAAGTGTGCACACATAACATACAACACATAAGACAATACTAAAGGCCTTGTAGCTTTACCTAGGTGAAATCTCCATTGCAATGCTTAAAAACTCCACAGTCAAAAAATAAAACTGATCAGAAAAACATTAACCTAGGTCTGTATGAGCTCAAAAATAAAATAGAACTTTATGATGTGGGAAAAGGCAAATAATAAAATAAATATTGAAAAAAGCATCCTGGTTAATCACTGTCGCAGATGTAAGAATAGCCAAACTGGAGTTCTGGATATCAGCTGTTATGGATTTGATTCAAATCATCTTCCTTTTGGTCTGTAGAAATTGTTTTAGTTAATCTCTCTGGAATCCAAATCGGCTGCTGTTGTCCCTGTGGAAAAACACAAACAGAACCCCGACTCCAGACAATCACTGGGTCAGGATCTTTCCATTGTCCTGTTAGAATATCCTTCCAAAGTACCTTAGGCTCATGTACATTTTTTGGACACATATGCCTTTCCGCAGCACTAAGCCCTGATGAATCCAAATTTAAAAAGTTTAGAGTAAAAAGGGTTATTTTAAGTTTATCTTTGGGTGATATATACCCCTTTCCAATTCCCTCTTTTTGCTTTAATAAGTACATTTTAATAGTTTGATGAGCTCTTTCAACTATGCCTTGTCCCTGAGGATTGTATGGGATTCCTGTTATATGAGTAATGCCAAATGATGAGCAAAATTGTTTAAAAGAGGTAGAAGTATAACCAGGACCATTATCTGTTTTTAACTGTTTTGGAACGCCCACAGTGGCAAAATTTTGTAAGCAATGAGCTATAACATCTTTAGTTTTTTCTCCAGAATGAAGGGAGCCCATCAAAAATCCGGAAGAAGTATCAACTGTAACATACAAATATTTTAATTTTCCAAATTCTGGCAAGTGTGTGACGTCCATCTGCCAAATATGGTTAGGTATCAGTCCTCTAGGATTGACTCCAAGATTAACTTGTGGTAAAAAGGTCACACAATTTTGACATTGTTTTATTATTTGTCTAGCTTGTTCCTTAGTTATTTTAAAACGCTTTTGTAAAGTATTAGCATTGACATGGAACCTTTTATGAAAATGTGTAGCTTCTTCTAGTGTAGAGAAAATATGTATGTCATGTGTAGTTTTATCTGCTAAATCGTTGCCCAAACTAAGGGCTCCAGGCAATCCTGTATGTGCTCTGATATGTCCTATAAAGAATGGATCTTTTCTGTCCCAGATTAGACTTTGTATAGCAGAAAACAAAGAGAAAACAGTAGAGGAAGGGGAAATCCTGCCAGCATCTTCAAGGGATACTATAGCATTAACTATATACTGACTATCAGAAAATAAATTAAATACAGAATCTTTAAACATCACAAAAGCTTGTAAAACTGCATTAAGCTCTACCTTTTGAGCTGATTGTTTGGGTACTAAAAATGTGAAAGTTTGATCAGGGGTAACTACTGCTGCTGTACCATTATTTGACCCATCAGTGAATACATTTGGAGCATTCATGATAGGGGTTTTTCTTGTCATTTTTGGGAAAACTACAGGATGCGAAGACCAAAAAGACAACAAAGGATTAGGTGGTAAGTGATTATCAAATGAAACATTAGATTTACACATGATTATTGCCCAAGTATTTAACTCATTAGCTAACTCATCAATTTGATCCATAGTATATGGAGTAATAATTTTATTGGGAGAAATTCCAAACACTCCCTTTGCTGCTTTTAATTTCTTTGAGTATTAATTGTCCTACATCCTCAGGATACCTAGTAAGAATAGTGTTAGGAGAATAAGATAAATGTATCCACAATAATGGACCTTCTTGCCAAAATACTCCTGTAGGAATATTTTTTGTTGGTATTACAATAAATAATAAAGGCAAAGTTATATCAATTCTATCCAAATGCATATTTTCCATATATGTTTCAATAATTTTTAATGCCTTTCTTGCTTCAGGCGTTAACATGAGGGGTGAATTTGGATCTGATGGACCTTTTAGGATATCAAATAAAGGTCCCAACTCTCCTGTTGGTATGCCTAGATAAGGCCTTATCCAATTTATGTCTCCTAATAACTTTTGAAAGTCGTTAAGTGATTTGAGTTGATCTACTCGTATTTGAATTTTTGGTGGACGGACCATGGTTGAGGATAATAGAACTCCTAAATAATTAATTGGAAAATTTAATTGTACTTTATTGCTATCTCTAGATTATAATTTTTTAATAAGTTTGTAAGTGTGGCATAACATTCTAGCAATGTGTTTTTATCTTTGTGTGCTAACAATACATCATCCATATAGTGAAATATTTGTAGTTTAGGATTTTGATTTCTAAGTGGCTGGAGTGCTTTGTTAACATAAATTTGACACATAGTTGGGCTGTTAGCCATCCCTTGAGGGAGTACTTTCCATTCATATCTCTGATCAGGACCTTCATGATTCAGTGCAGGGATAGTAAATGCAAAATGTGGACTATCCTCAGGATGAATTGGAATTGAATAAAAACAATCTTTAATTCTATAGCTAAAACGTACCAGGTTTTTGGCAAAGCAGACAATTGACGAATCCCTGATTGAGCAGGTCCCATAATAACCATCTCATTATTAATGGCTCTTAAATCTTGCAATAATCTCCATTTACCAGATTTCTTTTTAATGACAAAAATGGGAGTATTGTAAGGAGATATGGAAGGTTGTATATGTCCCGCCGCTAATTGTTGTTTGACCAGGTCATGGGCTGCTTGTATCTTTTCTTTAGTCAGGGGCCACTGAGGAACCCATACTGGTCTATCTGATTTCCAAGTAATTTTTATTGCCTCAGTGACCCCTTCTGAAAACCCAGTCCATATCTATTTATTCCTTGATCTATTTGAATTGGTGCTGCTATGCCTTGTTCTCCTAATCTTTTTTCTTTCCTGAAACCTTGTCTAGCCCTAATAGTGGGCGCATTTGGATTGATGTTATTTGTTAATGTCAAATCTAATTGATTTAGGACATCTCGTCCCCATAAATTTATAGGAAGATGATCCAATACATATGGCTATATAGTTCCTTCACATCCTTCAGGATCCTTCCAATCTAATACCATTGCACTTCTATGGGGATTAGTTGCCACTCCTAGGCCTCGAAGCGTTTGAGTGGCTTGTTGTAATGGCCAATGTTTTGGCCATTCTTGACGAGAGATGATGCTAAGGTCTGCACCTGTATCCAGTAGCCCATTAAATTCATGTCCTTGAATATTTAGTTTTAGCATGGGGCGAGAATCTAAATTTAAAGACAGCATAGCCCAATCTACACCTGTGGAGCCTAATCCCCTGGAACCTCTTTCTATAGTACTACTGGAAAATTTATCATGTAGGCTGGGTATTATTAATAACTGTGCTATTCTATCTCCTGGTGAAATTACTGATATACCCTTTGGAGAACTAGCTATAATTTTTATTTCACCTTCATAATCGGGATCAATTACCCCGGGACTTATCATAAGTCCTTTTAGCATAGAAGAACTGCGTCCTAACAATAAGCCTACTGTTCCTTGGGGAAGAGGTCCTTTTACTCCTGTGGGAATGATTTGAACTCCCATCTCTGGAGTTAGTACTGCTCTGGCGGAGGCGCAGATGTCCAACCCTGCGCTCCCTCTGGTTCGTCTGATGAGAGATCTGATGGATAATGTGTCCTGGGCACTACCCTGATGGTGTTGCTGGGTTCCTCCATGGTGTTTCTGGGTTCCTCCAGTGCCCCGTACATTTGTGGTCTTGGGCCCCGGAGCATTGGGCCCCCCTGTCCGTTTTTTGGCAATGGAGCCCGATGCCTTTCTCCACGATATCGTGGGTAAACACTTGGTCCTTGTCTGTTTTTTGATAACGGAATACCCTCTATGGTGGTTTGAGAACGGCATTCAGTAGCCCAATGTTTCCCTCTACGGCATCGTGGGCAAATACCCGGTATTCTATTCCTTTGATACCTAGCTTTGTTAAACCCTCCTCCTATGGGGCAACTCCTTTTAAAATGTCCTGTTTGATCACAATTATAGCATGTTTTTGGCCTGGCATCTAAAGCCTGTTGTACTGCTGCTAAGACTTGCCCTTGTTCATTAATGTCTCTACATAATTTAATATATGTGTTTAAATCTTCATGTCTCCATGGTCTAATGACCTCTCTGCAGCAACAATTTGCTTGGTCATAAGCCAGTTGTTTTATAAGTAGCATTGCCTGTTCTTTATCCCCAAAAATTCTGGAAGCTGCTTGAATAAGCCTATCTACAAATTCAGCGTAAGGTTCATTAGTTCCTTGTATTACCTTAGATAATTGACCTTGTAAATCTCCATGCCCCTGTAAAGTTTTCCATGCCCTAACCGCATCTACAGCAATTTGTGCGTATACGCCAGGATCATATTCAATTTGTTGCCGTTGACCCTCATAAGGTCCTTTTCCTAACAACATATCTAGATTTCTTTGAGGGTAACCGGCTGCTGCATTTCGCCTAGCTGTCTCCCTGCAAAATTCCTCATTGGCAACCTTCCATAACAAATATTGTCCTCCATTTAGCACAGATTTACACATACTAGCCCAATCTGCTGGCGTCACGTCCAAGTTGGTAATGGATTCGACCATGCTTACAGTGAACGGTGCTTGAGGACCATAGGTTGTTACAGCCTCCTTTAACTGCTTCACTGTTTTGAAATCTAAAGCATGGTGAATTCGCTGCCCTCCTGCCTGCTCAAGTACAGGGCATGCTAATCTTTGAGGTCCTGTCTCAGGATCCCATCTATCAACTACGGGGTTTGAGGGCCACTCAGCTATCTCCAAGGGGGAGCTGTTGGTTGAATTACACCCTCTGGTGATAGAACGGTGTTAGTAGCAGCCTCCTGTTGTAGCTTTTTCCCTAATAGCTGTTTCTCCTCTAAGCTTTCTTCCTTTAAATTTTCTTCCTCTGTCTGACTAGCTTGAGAGACCTTCTCTTTTGCCTGATCTAAAATGTCTTTCTCCATGGTCTGAACCTCTAACAATTTACTTAACACTCTTTCAGTTTGTTTTTTACTAATTTCTAATCTGTTATAAAGATAACACAACCCAATAAGATAACACAAAACAAAACCGAAACAGAATGAAACAAAAACGGAACAAAAAATCGTTGTATCAATTTTCCTATTTTCTTGATATGTGCATTTGTGGTCTATTTCTATCTCTTCCTCAGGGGCGAACAACTTCAAACCTTGAGCCAACCATTTTTTCCCAATCTGCCTGAGAAAATTCTAGGGATAGGCAGCTTGAAACAAACACAAAACAAATCAAAACAAGAACACATTGTTTTTTTAAAATGGTCACCCATTCTCTCGCCTTCCCTTAGGGGCAAGCAATTTCACTTACCCCGAAGCTTCAGATGTTCCCCGTACGGGCCACCAATTGCTGCAGTCTGGCTGGGCACAAATCACGAGCCACTGAAGCAGGAACAAACTTTATTTTTGAACTGCAGGAAAACACTTCACACAGCTCCCGGGGAATCCTCCCAATGCCACGCGGCTCGTCCAGGAACCCCCAGCCGGAAATATCTCTCCCGGAAATCCCTCCTCCTGCACTTCCCCAACCAATGGGAACTCTCGGGGAATCCCGGGAAATCCCCACGAGAACTCCAAAATAGTGCAAGAACTCAAAAGTTGTGGCAGAGGCGGATAGTAATGCCTCACCTGTCAATCAATACTGTTGGCAAAATGCCAGGGGCCATACAGACTCGGCCGTGGCTCTCAGCAGAATTACTGTAGATATTTCACAAAATCAAGATCTCTTAGAAGGAAGGTGGTAGCAGAAATGGGAAATAAGTGCTTAGTAGGTACTTTGAGTTCTGCAACAGGGAAGTGATAACTTATTGTAAACCTTTTATAATTATATGTGTTAGTCAGGTGTGATGGCATATACCTTGTAATCCCAACAATTCGGGAGGCTGAGGCAGGAATATCACAGGTGTGAGGCCAGCCTCAGCAAATCAGTAAGACCCTGTCTCAAAATAAAAAATAAAAAGGCCTGGGGATATAGTCAGTGGTAAAGTACCCCTGGGTTTAATCGCTAGTACAAAAAAAAAAAAAAAAAGGAGAGAAAAAATTACTGCAAGTTGAAAAAAGCTATCATCAATTGAATGAAGAGAATATTATTACTAAAGATTAATCACACTATAAGGCATGATTACATTTTTAAAATCTAGAATTTAAAGAAAGTATTTAAGTTCCTCTATTATTTCTGTCAACCATATGAGCACAGAAAGAGAAAATATTGTCAAAACTAAGCAGGCACAAAGCCAGGCGCAGTGATGCACACCTCTAACCTCAGTAGCTAGGGAGGGTAAGGCAGGAGGATCTCAAATTCAAAGCCAGCCTCAGCCACTTAGCAAGGGCTCGTCTCTGAAAAAAATATAAAAAAGGGCTGAGGATGTGGCTCAGTGGGTAAGTGTTCTTGGTTCAATCCCTGGTACAAAAAAAAGTAAAAGTTTTTATTTATCATTTATTTATGTATTTTGGTACTAAGGAACTGAACCTAGAGGCACTCTACCACTGAGCTTCACCCCAGCCCTTTAAATTTTTTTAAATTTTATTTTGAGACAGGGTCTTGCTAAGAGGCTGAGGCTGGCCTTAAACTTGGGTCTGCTTGCCTCAGCTTCTCACATTGCTAGAATCATAAGTGTGTACCATCATGCCCAGATAAGGAAAAAAATTTTAAGTGAGATGGGATAATCAATTTTCTTGTCTCCATAACCTTTACAACCTTCTCTTAACATCAAAGCAAAATTGTACAAATAATTATATAATATAAAAATGCAGTTTTCTTTGGATCAGTTTGCTTAGGGTCAATAATATATGCACCGTGTACGATGAAATGGAATTCCTTTCATATCTTCCCTATGGTCACGGGCATAGTCCCATAAGTAAAAATCCAGAAGAATGGAATTGATCTCTCTATTAGGCTTTTCACCCTTTTTTTCAATAAGTTCCAGAAGACAATCCCGGATCAATTCAACACACCACAGGGAGCACCCTCTGATTTCCACCTCCTGCTTATCCCCATATGAAAGCATTTCTCCTGCAAGGGTTAAAAAAATGGAGAGAAAAAAAATATTTTCTAAACTCAGACATTAGTGCAAAATTACAAATTTATATTTCACAAGGACTGGATGGCTTGTTTCTCTCAATATTCCCAGGACCTAGAATAGCAAGCACCTTGCACATACTTGCTCCCTAAATAAACATTTGTTATTGAAGATGAAATAATTCTAAATTTAAAAATATGACAGCAAGCCGGGCTCAGTGGCACACGCCTGTAATCCCAGCAGCTTGGGAGGTTGAGGCAGGAGGATCGTGAGTTCAAAGCCAGCCGCAGCAAAAGTGAGGTGCTTAAGCAACTCGGTGAGACCCTGTCTCTAAATGAAATACAAAAGAGGGCTAGGGATATGGCTCAGTGGTTGAGTGCTCCTGAGTTCAATTCCCGGTATCTATCTATCTATCAATCAATCAATCAATAAAATAAAATATGACAGCAAAAAAAAAAAAAAAAAGAGAGAACAGAAAAGAAAAAAGAAAGAATAAAAGGAAAGAGAAAAGATGAAAACAAGTCTGATTTTTTTTAGGGGTTGGGAATATAGCTCAGTTGGTAGAAAGCTTGCCTAGCATGCATGTAGCCCAGAGTTCCATCCCCAGCACCACAAATAATAATAAATCAACAAATAAAAAATAAAAAATGATTATTTATTTATAATTATTGATTTATTAGTAACATATTAAGTTATTAGTAACCACAAATAATAAATTAAATTGTTAATTATTTAATAATTTGATAATTATTAGATCATTTAACAATTATTAATTATATAAATAATTATAGATTATTAAATTAATAATTATTTGTGGTTATTATTAATTTATTATTATTATTTTTGAAGGATTTAAAAGTGGGTTACCAGGGAAAAAAATACTATTTCAAATTTTGAAAGACTCTGTGGCCCAATAAACAGGATCTTTCTCCCTTAGCTGGCTGAATACTGTCTTGGGGACATCATAGGTGCATCAGGAAAAATGCAGGATATCAAAGTTGTTAACCTGAGCATAGAAAATCATCACTGTTGTTTGGATTCGGGATCCTTGAGTTAGCTCTGCCTGAATATGGAGCTACAATCTTACGTAAGACCCCCAGTCTATTCAGTACCTATCTCCAGGATATATCTAATTCTGAAGGGTGGGCATTGGCTGCCACTGAAAATACAGTACAGTTCATCAACTCAAATGCCTACGGGGATCAGACATTGTAAACTGCCTAAAGTACTGTTCAGGCCAAACAAAATACACCTACAGGCTATATTTGGCTTCTGGCCACCAATCTGCAATCTTGCACAGAGTTTTACAATATACATGAAGCCCTGTCATTCACCAAAAGCTGGGGAGAGGCAAGGAAGATTCCTAAGAATCTTTAGAAGGAGGAAGGTCATGCCAACACCATAATTTTAGATTGCTGGCCTCCAGAACATTTCTGTTATTCTGTTATTTAGTCTCCCAAAGCAGCAGGATTACAAATGTGCACCACCAAGCACGGCTCAAAGAAATGTATTGTTTGTTTTAAAATAATTTTTACACAAACTTCAACACAATTTACCTATTTTATATACAATAATAGCCCCAGTCTTTTTTTTTTTTTTTTGGTACTGAGGATTGAATTCAGGGACACTCAATCACTGAGCCACATTCCCAGCCCTTTTTTTTTTTTTTTTTTAATTTAAATTCAGAGACAGGATCTGGCTAAGTTGGCCAGGCTAAGTTGCCACCTTTTTTTCTCAGCCTCCCAAGTAGCTAAGATTTCAGACATGACTCACCATGTCTGGCTATGCCCCCAGTCTTGATATCAAAAATTATATCTGGGGATGGGGGATATAGCTCAGTTGATAGAGCACTTGCCTCGAATGTGCAAGGCCCTGGGTTCAATCCCCAGCACCACAAAAACAAAACAGCTACTTGGGAGACTGAGGATTGCAAGTTTGAGGCCAGTCTTGGCAACTTAGTGAGACCATGTCTCCAAAGGGGGAAAAAAAAATATCCAGTAATGTTGAATAGACAAGAGTAGAGAAGGGAGTCATTTGTGCAAGATAAAGATAAATCAGTGGGGATGATGTTACAGCCTTCTGACTCAAAGTTCTGTAAATATTACCTATCTCTCATTCCACCCTTTATATTAATATGCAGTGTCCTCTTCAGCTAAATTAATGCTCCTCAAATATTACACCTATACTGTATATCTCCTTGTACCATAAATTTAGGTTTATTTTATTAGGCTCTTGTAATGTTCCAATAGCACAATTTTCAACAATATCCACACTTCATAGTATAAACAAGAAGAGCCATTTTTCCTATATTTCAATTGCCCTTACATTTTTCTTCACATATATTTTTAACAATAGTGCCTTTTTTTTTTTTAAGTAGAGTTTTTTTTTGTGAAAGAAACTAAACAGATTTAACAACAATGTACAGAATAACAAATAATGAGCTAAAGTTGCAAACCTTTAAGAAGCTTCTTCAGTAGTTCATTAGAGTATTTCAGGGCTCCAAGGTAAACAAGAATCTGAGGTAATCTATAGTCAGCAAACATAGTGATACTGGAGATATCCTTAAAGAAGCCATCTCCTTTTCCTTCTAACACACTCCATGTGTCTGCCACAAGGATTTGGGCTCGTTTATAAAAAGAAATTCTTTTCCCCTGATGAATGGAGAAGATATAAATGTTACCAGGGCATCTGAAAGCTTTATAAATGCTATTTTTTTAAATATTTATTTTTTAGTTATAGGTGGACACATATCTTTATTTTATTTTTATGTGGTGCTGAGGATCGAACCCAGTGCCTCATGCGTGCTAGGTGAGCACTCTACCTCTGAGCCAAAATCCCAGCTCTTATAAATGCTATTTTTAAAAAGACACATGTGCCAGGTGCCATGGTACACACCTGTAATCCCAGCAACTTGGGAGGCTAAAGCAGGAGGATCACAAGTTTGAGGTCAATCTCAGAAATTTAGTGAGGCCCTAAGCAATCGAGTGACACCCCCATCTCAAAAAAATAAATAAATAACTTAAAAAATAAAAAAGGCTATGAATGTAGCTAGCTGAATGATAAAGTGCTCCTAAGTTCAATCCCCAATATCAAAAAAAAAAAAAAAAAGAAGAAGAAGAAGAAGCCGGGTGCAGTGGCGCACACCTGTAATCCCAGTGGCTTGGGAGGCTGAAGCAGGAGGATTTCGAGTTCAAAGCCAGCCTCAGCAATTTAGTGAGGCACTGAGCAATTCAGTGCTTAGTGATACTTAAGAGATGCTGTCTCTAAATAAAATTACAAAATAGGGCTGGGGATGTGTATCAGTGGTCGAGTTCCCCTGAGTTCAATCCTCAGTACCCGCCCCCCCAAAAGAAAAAAGTTGTTTCTTCAAGAGCAGAATAGTCTTGCTTTTAGAATTTATAGAAAACAGGACAGGGATTGTGGCTCAGTGGTACAGTTTTTACCTAGCATGCATGAGGAACTGGGTTCAAACCTCAGCACCACATAAAAATTAAATAAATAAATAAATATATAAAAGAATTTATAGAAAACAAAAGAATCTAACATAGTTATCTCTCTTACTCAAAATTTGCTTCCTATTTCAAAGAACATAAAATATAAATTATGTAATCCCGGTACTATTTGGTATTGTTTTTCAATAACATTACTTCATATGCATATTTTAGTTTCACTATAATTCAAGGTTTTTTTTTTTTTTTTTTAGTACTGGAAATTGACCCCAGTGTTACTTTATCACATTACATTCAAGCCCTTCTTATTTTTTTAAGATGAGTTCTCACTAAATTGCCCAAGCTGGCCTTTACTTGTGATCCTTCTGCCTGAGCCTCCTGAGTAATTCAGGTTACAGGCATGAGCCACATCGCCTGACCCCAACTAGTTATTATTTTTAACATGTAGATAGTAGTTTTTTGAAAAGTTTAAAACTTTAGTTTAAATATGTGTGTGTGTGTGTGTGTGTGTGTCTGTATCTGATTGCAACATAATTCATGTTAACTTTTTCTTATGGGGGAGGGGTACTTGGGATTGAACCCAGAGATGCTTTACCTCAGAGCCCAAAACCCTGATCCTTTTTATTTTTTATTCACTTGCTGGCTTGGAACTTGTGATCTTCCCGCCTCAGCCTCCTGATCACTGGGATTACAGGTGTGCACCACCATGCCCAGCAAGAATTCTTCAGTGTGTTTGTTGTTGTTACACTTGGGAAATTTTTCGTAAAACCTTATGAGCACTCATGAGAAATGGTTCCTGTGTCAATATTCATTTTAAAATGCATCTGCCTTGGGCTGGGGATGTGGCTCAAGCGGTAGCGCACTTGCCTGGCATGCGCAGGGCGCTGGGTTCGATCCTCAGCACCACATAAAAATAAAATAAAGATGTTGGGTCCACCGAAAACTAAAAAATAAAAATATTTAAAAATTCTCTCTTTAAAATAAATAAATAAAATGCATTTGCCTTAAAATTAATCAACTTCTTGGTAAATGAAATAGAAACTCTACAAAAATAATTCACATGGGGCTGGGGCTGTAGCTCAGTGGTAAAGCACTTGCCTCACATGCGTGAGGCACTGGGTTCAATCCTCTGTATCATGTAAAAATAAGTAAAGATACTGTATGTTCATCTACAACTAAAAAAATATTTAAAAAAAAAATTCACCTTTCGCCACAAAACAAAAAAGACAACTTGTAAGTAAACAAACTACACAGTGCTCTCAATTCATTCCATCCTAAAGTCATGTTAATTTTTAATCCTGATCCTTGCTATACTACAACCATGTTGATTTTGGAATACATGGATTACCAGCCACATGACTGGCAGATGGATTTCTTTTACATACTGTTCATCATAATTAGCCTCAATGATGGACCAAGGAACTTGATTCATAATTTCTGAAATGACATACTTTGAAGACATAGATGAATTTCAAAGTAACCTTTGCATTATCAAAATAAAACAGAATGGAATTCAGCAGTGGCCTACAGACTCTGTTCTAGGAACTGCCTCTCTGCCCCATCCATTCCCAGCAGCAGTACTGAGCTGGTCATAATCTGTGCCAGTTCAATCAGTTTTTGTCCAGGAGTTTTAGAATTGGCATGGAGAAAAAGTATCTCTCTCCTTCTTTCTGTCCAGTGGCCAAAGAAATAAGATGCAAATAATGCAAAGACATTAACCTTTAGTTTTTTCACTGCATGGAGAAAGTTAGTCTACAGATACATGGAGTTAACAGAGGCAAAGATGAGAGGCTGAATGCTGCTGGCATTTGAATCCCTAATCTGGTATGTTCCTATCCCAAACACCCATCTAAAGATTCTTGCTTAAGTTTTTTCTAGTTTTGTATGTGTGTGTGTGACCTGCAATTTAAAAAATCTTGGCTGGACATGGTGGTGTACACCTGTAATCCCAGTGGCTTGGCAGGAGGATCACAAGTTCAAGGCCAGCCTCAGCAATTTAATGAGGCCCTAAAAGATTTAGCAAGACCCTCTCTCAAAATAAAAAATAAAAAGGGCTGTGGCTCAGTGGTTAAGCATCCCTGGTGTTCAATCCCCAGCATTTAAAAAAAAAAAATTAACTTTTTGTACAATAAACAAATAATATTGTGAAAGCATACTGTGTATGAAAAAGAAAATACATAGTATATATATATATATATATATATATATATATATATATACACACACTGAACTTTGCAAGAAATTGTTTGTTTGTTTTACTGGGGATTGAACCCAGGGACACTTTACCACTGAGCTACATCACCAGTCCTTTTTTTAATTTTTTTTATTCGAGACAGGTTTCATTACCATCCTCCTGCCTCAGCCTCTCCAGTTGCTGTGATTTCAGGCGTTTACCACCACACCTGGTGTAAGCTTTTATTCTTAAAATGAATTCTGGAAGAAAAAGAATTAATACTGAGAGAACTATTAAAACTTCTTAAATGCTAAACAAACAAAAACACACCTCAAACTGAGTCACATCTCTATATGAAGGAAAATTTTCAACGACCAAGTGCATTAACTTCTGTGCACTTTTTTCACTTTTTCTGATACAATTAATAAAAGAGCCTCCAAACTTCTCCAGTAGAATTTTCCCGGTTTCATTGAGAATCCGATGCCTCTCTTCTATTAAAGGCATGGATACATCTGTGTCGGAACGAAATATATGCTGAACCTGATCCAGGGTCACTGTGGCATAGTAGGAGGCACTAGTTATTGGTATTCCTTTAGAGAGAAAATAGTAAAAAAAAATCAGAGGAACAATGTCATGCTTTGAGAATTCAGCAGACCCTTGGTTTTATAACATGCAATTATGTAAAACCAAGTGCTGCAGAAATGCATAAAATAGCAATCAAACGCAAAACCTTCATTTTCTACTACTTATTCCCCATTTCTAACTATTGTAATGTAACATCACATGCATTTTGACTACGTTTCATAATATCTGTCCCTTTGTTCTTCAGGTGTCACTAAAGTGGCATTCTTTTTCCTATGGTGAGATACTAAAAGCATGTTATTTTCCATTGAATATGCTTCTTCTCTTGCTTTTATATTAAGCAGAGAGACTAGCAAGGAAGAACTTCAAGATCGCCCTAACGTATAATTCTAACACCCAACCCGCTCCTTGACACCCGCCCCTGAACCCCCCACCCCCGTCCCAGAGAACTAAAACCTCAAAGGCTGCCGGGTCCAACCGCGAGCAGGACACCAACCTTCGTCCAGGGCTCTGTTAACTGCGGCGCACAGGGACCAGTACCCACTGTAGGTCTTCCCCTTGTACGTTACCAGACACTTGTGCTCATCCCGCTCCGACCAAAAGGAGAAGTTGAGCGTGTCTACCACAAACACCCAGTTGACCGCGGCCTCATCGGCGGCCCTGGGGTTCAGCTCGTGAAGAGTTTTCCACCCTTCCACGCGTAACTCCGGCCCCGAGGCCTTGGCAAGCAGCAGTTCGGCCACCCTCCGCACGCCTTCGCTATCAATGAACACATCCTGACTATTTTCTGCAATAAATCTAGCGGACTCTCTAGGAGTTAGGAGGACGTCCATTCCGTCCCTCTCCTTTACTACTGGGAATGACGCTTTGGACTTTGGGTCCGCCAAACTCTTCCCCCTCTACAGAGGACAAAGTCCTGGGTCCCGCCCTCCCCGAGAGTGGCAAGGAGAACTGCGAGCAGACCAGTTGCAGGTTCCCTCCCCTAGCACTCTCAAGACAAGGAACCGTGGAAACCGTGAGGCCAGGCGCAGGGTAGAGGCCACAGGCACTTCCGGGAAAGTGGCCCCACTTTCGCTCGGGAGCGCGCCCAGGCCTCGCTTCCGGTTCTGAAGGTCCGGAAACCGTCTGGAAGGGTACGTCGCGCGCCGGCAGGGAGTCGTCCACCCTCGGACGTGAGGCTCCGCCATTTTGTGCCTCCTTCCACACCCGCTTTAGCCGGGTGGGACACGAACGCTGGGGTTCGCCGCCCTTTCGGGTAGCGTTTACTCCAACTGTTGTACCGCGATGCTCTCACCTGGCTCCCGCCCCATTTTTTTCCCCGTGGGTCAAAATCTGGGTGAGATGCCCTCGGCGCCACCCCGCATCTCGGTTCCTTGGCTGCGACAAGCATCGTGGCAGTCGATCTGACTTACCTGGACCCAGTCATCCCCAGTTCGTTCGATACCGAGCTGCGGTTCCCCTTTCCCAGTCCCTAGGCAGGGGGCTCCCTTCTTTTACTGAATTCCTGGCCTATTTGGAGGTCTGATAAACATTTAGGATTAGTTGGAAGGCTTGGGAAAACAGATGAGGACACAAATGTATTAAATTGTTAACGTTTTATTCCTGTGCTTAATTACTAAATCTCAATCTCGTCGGGGTAATGACAGAGCGGCTGTAGTGATTCCCGTTTTGCAAATGAAGCTGGATGGTTTCGGTAATCTGCCGCCATCCCAGCAATGATTATGGCTGAGGCTCAACGCTTGGTTAATCAGTCTTCCCAAGTGAAGGGCATTATATGAGTCCATTACCAATACCATTCTAGTAATAACTATCGATGGCCCTACTGAGGAGACATAGGGCTGGGGATATAGCTCAGTTGGTAGAGTGCTTGCCTTGCATGCACAAGGCCCTGGGTTCATCCCCAGCACCCCCCAAAAAAAGTTTACTGAGGAGACATTAATAAATGAAAAAAGTATTGCCTTTGAACTTTATTAGCTGGGCCCGTTGTTGCACACCTGTAATCTCAGTTTCTCGGGAGGCTGAGACAAGAGGATTGCAAACTCAAGCCAAGCCTCAGAAGTTTAGCAAGACCCTGTCTCAAAATAAAAAAAGGGCCGGGGATTGTAGCTCTGGTACAAGGCCCCTGGATTAAATCTCCATGTAAGGAAAAAAAAAAAGAAAAACATCAACAGCAGCAAAACAAAAACAACCTCTTCATTAACAGATATAGGAGTCAATTTAATGATGATCCAAATTAACCTGGTGATTAACCCGGCTCAGCCCTTTTTGGTTTTGAGATAGGGTCTCATTATCCAGGCTGGCCTCGATTTTTGTGATTCTCCTTCCTTCTCGACCTACCACATTAGCTGAGATTATTGGTGTGTGCCACAGCACTGGATTGAAGTAATCCTCTAAGTAATCTCTAAACTTGCATTTTAAAGGTTAACAAAGAAGTATGATTCTGTGTTTCTATCACATTTTCCCCCTCCCAAATAGTATCCAAATTAGATTATTACAGTCATCAAGAGAACCATCATTGGGCTGGGATTGTAGCACAGTGGTAGAGTGCTTGCCTAGCATGTGTGAGGCACTGGGTTCAATCCTCAGCACCACATAAAAATAAAATAAAGGTCCATCAATAACTAAAAAACAATTTTAAAAAAAGAGAACCATCATTCTCAGGAGCTAAATTAAATGTCAAGCTCTTGGCAACAATTGTTGCTATATCTTCAGTTTTCTGTAATGAATAGGCTATGGCAGGTAACTAAAGAAATAGAGGGTTTATGAGGTATTGTTGAGGAAAAGTTGTAAAGGTTGGTTAGAGGCGAGGCACAGTGGCACACGCCTAAAATCCCAGCAGTTAGGGAGGCTGAGGCAGGAGGATCTCAAGTTCAAAGCCAGACTCAGCAGTTTAGTGAGGCTCTAAGCAATTCAGTAAGACCTTGTCTCTAGATAAAATACAAAAAAGGGCTGGGGATGTGGCTCAGTAGTTAAGTGCCTCTTGGTTCAATCCCCAGTACCAAAAAAAAAAAAAAAAAAAAAAGTTTGCTAGAGCTATGGATGGACAATAGACACTGCTAGAGGAGAAAGTGTAGTTTCTCTTATATGCAGATGGAGTTATTTAGAAAAGTAACATTTTAGGACACAACTAATTTGCTTCCCTTGTGTTACCTTTTTATCACTGTGACCAAAATACCCTCCCTATAAGAACAACTTAAAGGAGAAAAAATGTATTTTGGCTCATGGTTTCAGAAGTTCTGACCATGAATTTCTGACTATAGTGGTCTTGAGTTCATTCTTCTGGGCCCAAGGTGAGGGAGAACAGCATGGTGGAGGATGTGACAGAGGATTGCTACTCCATTCATGGCAGCCAGGAAGGAAAGAGGGGAAAAAGGGAGAGAAAGGGTGCAGGGAGGGAGAATGAGAGAGAAAGAAATATACTAAACAAAAAATCATTTGAACAGTTATGAAAAGTTCACAGGGTGGAAGAAAGGGCAGGACAACCAGACTCAAAAACAGAAACCAAGCAGTTTTAGACTATTGAAAACAGTAACTGCTTGAAGTTCTCTCATAGTAGAGCTGCTGAAAAATACTGTAATTATTACAACTTGCTTGCATCATTCTGCCAAGATTGGAAAAAGAGACTGATTGGCCAAACCTATGTCTTTACCTTTTGGGTAGTAGAGGCCCTTCAAGGACTAGGATTGCTCTCTTTCATGCAACGGGAAAAGAAAAATTCCACAGAAAAACGTGTGAGAAACTGATGCTATATTTTTAATAAAATTGTAATTCATCCCTTTGGCATTCAAACAGTTTTGCTCTCATACATATACTTTCAAAAAACGTCCTGCCTAGGGTGGGAGGGAAAGGGAAGGGGAAAGGGATTAGCAAGGATGGTGGAATATGATGGTCATCATTATACAAAGTACATGTATGAAGTTGAATTGGTGTCAACATACCTTATATACAGAGATATGAAAAATTGTGGTATATATATGTATTAAGAATTGTAATGAAAAAAAGTACATATATAATGGCATAAATTGACGTAAATGTTCATGCTTAGATACGAAAAATTATGCTCTATATGTATAATAAGGATTGTAATGCATTCCACTGTTGTCATGTATTTAAAAAAAAAAAAAAGTCCTGCCTAATATAACACAATTATTCCATTTATTTACTTATTTATTCATACATACATACTGGGGATTGAGCCCAGCCAGGTACACCCTTCCACTATGCTACAGCCCAAAGCCCCCCCTTTAAAAATTTTTTTTTTTAGTTATAGGACACAATATCTTTATTTATGTTAATATGGTGCTGAGGATTGAACCCAGTGCCTCACATGTGAGGCAAATGCTCTGTCTCTGATCCACAAACCCAGCCCCACAGACCCAAGCCCTTTTTTTTTTTTATTCTGAGATAGGGTGTCTTGCTAAACTTCCCTGAACTTGACATCCTCCAGTCCTCCTGCCTGACCCTCCTGAGTTTCTTGGGCCACCAAGTCCAATTCTGAAACAATTTTGAAAGGTTTTGGTGACTATAACTTTTATTTCCCTCACACTTAATAAATTTGGGAATTTGGAGATGAATATGAATTTGAAGGACCAGGGAAAAAATGGAGGATAAACTATTGGGTGAGAAGACGGGAAATTCTCATGGATTCTAGACAAAAAGTGAGGTAGGGATTAGAGAAGTTTGAAGTCATAAGGTAGTGGCATACTAATATATAATCCTGTTGATGGTGTCTGTTACTCGGTTTGCAAAGAGGGGAACCCATCTCCATGAAACATTGGCATTTTTAATTTATTTTGGTACCAGGTATCGAACCCAGGGTTGCTTTACCACTGAGCTACATCTCCATCCTTTTTGAGACAGTCTTGCTAAATTGCTAAGACTGATCTCAAATTTATGATATTCCTGCCTCAGCCTCCCCAGTTAATGGAACTACAGACATGTGCCCAGTGACATCTTATTTCCCAATGTGTATTTGTACACATAATCACCTCAACTCAGATTCTCTCCATTGTAAATAGACAAATTTATACTGTCTAGGCTTTCTCCAGTCATCTCCTTTTCCTTACATCAAATTTCTTCTCTAACTGCAAATGTTGAGGCCTGGTTGGATAAATTATGTCCATTTGTGTACACAGGCTCTGACAAGGTCTACATTTGTTCAGCTGCTGAAAGGAGCAGTCAGCAGCAGAATTTTGGATCCCAGACAGGGACAGTGGCACATGCCTTATAATCCCAGCTCCTTGGGAGGCTGAGGCAGGAGGATGGCATGTTCAAAGTCAGTCTCAGCAACTAAGATCCTCTGCAATTTAGTAAGACCCTGTTTTTTTTGTAAGACATTTTTTAGTTGTAGTTGGATACAATATTTTTATGGGGTGCTGAGGATCAAACCCAGGGCCTCGCCTGTGCTAGGTGAGAGCTCTACCACTGAGCCACAACCCTAGCCCTGACCCTGTCTTAATATAAGGAGGAAAAGGAAAAAAAAAAAAAAAAGGATTGGGGATGTAGCTCTGTGATAAAGCACCTCTGGACAACTCACTCCCCAGTACAAAACAAAAAAACAACAATTTGGGGTTCACTTTTTTTTTTCCTTTTTCTGGAGACTGAACCCAAAGGTGCTTATACCACTGAGCTACATCTCCAGTCCTGTTTTGAGACAGGGTCTCAATAAGTTGTTGAGGCTGGCCTGAACTTGCTGTCCTCCTGCTTCAGCCTCCTGAGGTGTTAGCATTGCAGGCCTGTGCCACTGCATCCACCTGGAGCCCTAGATGTTGGATTTGAAATACTGGGATTTTTTTAAAACTCTATCTCACAGTACTATTTTTGGTATTGTTCTACCAGAGTCACCATTTCCTCCCACCCCAGCCTTTTTAAAAAAAAAAATTTTGCAGTGCTGGCGATAGAACCCAAGGTCTTGCACATGCCAAGCAAGTGAAGGCTTATAGGTATTTTAGCGATATGTGAATCAGGAACTGCAGTTACTCTACATTATCTCCAATGTTCTCAAACATTAAAC